GAAAAAATATATTTTAAGAAAATGTTGCTTGTTTGGCAATCATTACATAAACATATTAGGTGTTCATGAGAGAAACACATTTTGAAAACAATTTGAAAAAGTAGCGCAATAGATTTCACCTCTTGTACACGTGTTTATAAAGTTTATGAAAGCTCGTTTTTTTCTTGTTTTTGTTCCTTGATAATTCTGGGCTAATAAAGCAAAAAGTGTTTACAGTGTGTTAGTAGCAGCACACGACACACTACTCTCTAATATCCTTACTGGCTAAAAAAACAAGAGGTGCCTCTCTCCCTCAATATGCACTATATATATATATATATATATATATATATATATATATATATAATATATATATATATATATATATATATATATATATAATATATATATATATATATAATATATATGCAATAAGATCACAGTAAACAGGTGATTTCAGAATATGCAAAACAACCACTCTGAAAGAATAGAGAAATTCCAAGCGCTTTCGTGACTACTCACATTATCAAGAAACTATGAAAGTAAAGCATCCAAGGAAGGTATATAAGGGGTCTGGCCAACACCTCACTATCAGATCCCACAACGGTTAAACACCTGACGCGCGCCGGCCCAACTGGACAGGTCCTTTGCACAACCCACCAACAAACTATTCTACCCAAGAAAATTTTTAAAATTATTATTTTTCCAGTGTATTATTAAATTCTTCCCAAATTCTATTAATTATAAATGGATCTAATTTATATAAACCAAAGGAAATATTCATATTATTGTCAAAACTGCTTTTTATGAAACAAGATTCAATTATATTCCTGTCGACAATGGACTTGCTTGATACTACTTTCTCAACTTTTTGAAAATCAATAGGATGGTTAAAATCTCTTACATGAATAAATAGAGCATTGGAATCTTGTCCAGTTCTAATGCTATATTTATGTTGTTTTAATCTTAGTTCGAGATTTTTACCAGTTTGACCGTAATAAACTTTATCGCAAATTTTACAAGGAATCTTATAGACACATCCATCAGCATTTTGGGGGGAATTCTTTATCAAAAGTTTTTTTTACTGTATCAAGATTTTTTAATACAACTTTAATATTAAAAGTCTTAAGAAGAGAAGGCATATCAACCAAGTTTTCATTGTAAGGGAGAACCAACATATTTTTAGTTGAATAAGGCTGGTTGTCCCTTTTTGGATTGCAAAAGTATTTCTAGCAACTTTAAAAGATTTATCAATTACATTTCTTGGGTATTTTAAATCATTACCTATTTCATAAATTTTGGATATTTCCTCATCTATGAACTCAGGACTACAAATTCGTAAAGCTCTCAAAAACATTGATGAGAAAACAGACAGTTTGACTCTATCTTGATGAGAAGAATAATAGTGGACATAGGAACAGTTATTTGTTTCAAAAAATTCCATGTATAGGTTACTGAGAACAGGTGAAAGAGGATTTCCCATTGCCATACCAAACTTCTGAGTGTAAAACTTATCATTAAATACAAATTTTGCATCAACAATGCAAAGTTTAATAAGGTTAATGATAGTAGGAACTGGCAATGATAAATCATATCTGAAGAACTCGTTAACTATGATTTACCATTGCCAGTTCCTACTATCATTAAACTTATTAAACTTTGCATTGTTGATGCAAAATTTGTATTTAATGATAAGTTTTACACTCAGAAGTTTGGTATGGCAATGGGAAATCCTCTTTCACCTGTTCTCAGTAACCTATACATGGAATTTTTTGAAACAAATAACTGTTCCTATGTCCACTATTATTCTTCTCATCAAGATAGAGTCAAACTGTCTGTTTTCTCATCAATGTTTTTGAGAGCTTTACGAATTTGTAGTCCTGAGTTCATAGATGAGGAAATATCCAAAATTTATGAAATAGGTAATGATTTAAAATACCCAAGAAATGTAATTGATAAATCTTTTAAAGTTGCTAGAAATACGTTTTACAATCCAAAAAGGGACAACCAGCCTTATTCAACTAAAAATATGTTGGTTCTCCCTTACCATGAAAACTTGGTTGATATGACTTCTCTTCTTAAGACTTTTAATATTGAAGTTGTATTCAAAAATCTTGATACAGTAAAAAAAACTTTTGATAAAGAATTCCCCCCAAAATGCTGATGGATGTGTCTATAAGATTCCTTGTAAAATTTGCGATAAAGTTTATTACGGTCAAACTGGTAAAAATCTCGAACTAAGATTAAAACAACATAAATATAGTATTAGAACTGGACAAGATTCCAATGCTCTATTTATTCATGTAAGAGATTTTAACCATCCTATTGATTTTCAAAAAGTTGAGAAAGTAGTATCAAGCAAGTCCATGGACGACAGGAATATAATTGAATCTTGTTTCATAAAAAGCAGTTTTGACAATAATATGAATATTTCCTTTGGTTTATATAAATTAGATCCATTTATAATTAATAGAATTTGGGAAGAATTTAATAATACACTGGAAAAATAATAATTTTAAAAATTTTCTTGGGTAGAATAGTTTGTTGGTGGGTTGTGCAAAGGACCTGTCCAGTTGGGCCGGCGCGCGTCAGGTGTTTAACCGTTGTGGGATCTGATAGTGAGGTGTTGGCCAGACCCCTTTTATACCTTCCTTGGATGCTTTACTTTCATAGTTCCTTGATAATGTGAGTAGTCACGAAAGCGCTTGGAATTTCTCTATTCTTTCAGAGTGGTTGTTTTGCATATATAAATATATATATATATATATATATATATATATATATATATATATATATATATATATATATATATATATATATATATATATATATATATATATATATATATATATATATATATATATAATCTTTAGCTCAAGTACTTTTACACTTCTCAGTGCGTCACCAGGAGCTGTGTATTGTTACAAGGGAGCAACTACAGCAGAGAGAGAGGTCTCAGAGTAGCGTAGATGTCACCGTCCATGGTTACCCTTAGAGTATGTATATATATATATATATATATATATATATATATATATATATATATAATATATATATATATATATATATATTATTTCATGATGCGGTACAAAAAATTTAAGAGATACATTGTTGATATAAAGATGGCATATACAGTACATGAGGTGTGAGAGATACATGTCTAGTACATATTTTTACGTGTTTGTCGCTGATTATAATGTGAAAATCTCATCCAGCTCCTCAGAGCTGGGGCATATGCCCAAAATACAGCAGGCATTACCCTTCTTAACAGCAGCACAGATCGCTGGAACAGAAAACTAGCTGCCTTGGGATCCCTAGTTACCCTGATGAGTTTTTTGCCCAGCTCTTTAAGGAACTTAGATGCACTCTTTCCCCATGAGCCAAGGGTTTCCGAGCCTACGAGAACAAACATGTAATGATGGGCAAGTTCTCCGTATTTTGTGGACTTTTGGGTATCCCTGAAGCTGGCAGCTGTTCCTCCTTCCTCCTTGGTGCATTGCAGATAGGTATCAGCCAAGGTAGATGCACATGTGTAGTCCCACACTTCCTGCTTGCCGTCTGTCCAGGCTTGAAGAGTGATGCCATCTGGACGCTTTTGGCTGCCATCAGATCTGCATAGTTGGGGTGGCTCCCTTACTGCTGAGCATCCAGCTGTTGTGAGGCTCCTCATGATAATGTTATTAACGTCCTCATGTCTTGCAATCTTTCCCTTGGATTTATGACACAAAAGACCATGGTGCCCGAATCTGTCTGCTGCTTCACTGCCACAAATACACCTGTGTTCGGCGAGAATAAGGAGGCAAGTCGATGGGCAACACTAATGCAGACGGTCTGTGGGTCGAGGCGTGTGGCAAGGCTGGGGTTGGGAACTGCAAACAGAAAGTCCCGTGCATGAGGAGCTCTCACTGCTAGGAGGCGGGCTCTATCCTTCCCCGACATGCTCTGAAGTATTTATTGCTGATGTCATGTCCTCCACTACTGGGCCATCCCAGTGCGACTGTTTGTAGTTGTTGGGGTGGGGGAGATCTAGTTTCAGAGCCGGTTAGATTATCCCAGATCATGACTCCGTCAATGAACGTCTGGTCCTAGACTCCAATCTTGTCCCTAAGATGTTCAGGGAGAATCGCTGCTACAAGCCCTCTGGATGCAATGCATGAGGACAGGAAAGCAGGTAACGCAATCTATGATGACTTGCGGACACCAGTGCCTCCTAGTCTGACTGGAAGTGTAGCTTGGTTCCACTGCCCATCTTCTAGAGTAAGGTTAAGTACTTTTTTATAAAAATCTGCCTCAAGATACTGTCATATTCGTGCAGTATAGGGTTATCATATGAAGGTGCACATCTTAGGAAATATGCCAACCCGGGCAGACTCAAACACTTTGTGAGAAGGCACAAGGCATCGTGGGTGTCAAGATTGCCTATCCGTTGCTCCATTCTTGTCAACACTTCGAGTTTCTTCCCAAGAATTGTGTCAATGGCATTGCTTTCCAGATGTGCTCCAAGCAAGACGATATATATGGGAGCAATGACTGCTGCTCCTGGTAGGTTTGATCTCAATGGATCTGTGTTCCTACCATCATCGAGGAGCCATATGTTCAGCTCACTGGTCAGTCTGACTGTGATTTCCCTAACCGCTATACAGAAGAGAAATGGTGCGAGAGATCCTCTCGCACCATTTCGCACCTTGCTGGACAACCTCTAATGATGTGATTTCACGCTCTCCAAACAGGAGCATTGATTCCTTGCTATATCCAGCTGAAACAAAAGGAAAGAGACCAGGGAAATGTTCTGGTACAGCTAATACCAGCTAATACCACGTATTTATATATATATATATATATAATATATATATATAATATATATATATATATATATATATAATATATATATATATATATTATATGTATAATATATATATATATTATATATATATATATATATATATATGATATATATATATATATAATTAATATATATATATATATATATATATATATATATATATATATATATTACATATGCATTAGACCGTCGTTTAACACGTTTCTGAAATGGCCGTCTTACAAAAATAAAATGAATATTTAATTATTGTTCATTGTCGTGATGTATTATGTTGTTTTTAGTACTTAAGATTACAAATGCAACCGAAATAATAGTATTTCTTACCTTATATTGTGGGTGCTGGTGTTTGTGGATGATTGTGGAAAGTGGAGAGTTATGGTGTGGTCCTACTGGGCTGAGGTGGATGGTAGAGGGTCTGGTTGTTAGGTAAGGCACATATGCAACAGTTAGGTATCTTTATTATGAAACGTGAGAGGGGGTGGATTTGAGAGGGACCTGACCTCTCAACATCTGAGTTCTTACCTCTCCTAGTGGCCTACGTCTCACCTCTTGGCGCTATAAAAAGCTCCATCCTGTCACTTCTTCTCCATATTGTTTCATACTATGGAACAATGCTCTTCTCCAGACTGAGGGACTGACCACCTCAAAACTTTAAGAGTGATGGACTGATTACATCGTCTTCAAGTATCTTCTGCTTCTATCAACTTTTCTGTACTTGACTGAAGAAGCCTACTGTGTAGGCGAAACGTTTCATAATAAAGATACCTAACTGTTGCATATGTGCCTTACCTAACAACCTGTCGGTATTTTATACCATTTTAATGTTCAGAGGGTCTGGTACTGAAGTTGATGGTTGTACTGGAGTGTGCATAAATTCTGTAATGAATTTCTGTTCTATTTTACCCTGCCGTACATTATACAACTGACAGTAAGTCATCAGCTGCTCTAGACACTTTTTCAGGGTGGTCTTCAGTGAAAAAGTCTAACTTTAAGTCAATAAATCAGTCAAGTCAGTCAGTCATTCAAGTCAGTAAGTCAGTCAAGTAAGTAAATCAGTCGTCCGTCAGTCAGTAAGTCATTCAGTCATTCAGTCAGTCATTAAATCAGTCAGGTCAATAAGTCAGTTAAGTTAGTAAATCAGTCAAATCAATCAGTCAGTAAGTCGGTCAGTCAGTCAAGTCAGTAAATCAGGCAGTCAGGTCAGTATGTCATTCATGTCAGTAAATCAGTCAAGTAAGTCAGTCAATCAGTCAGTAAATCAGTCAGTTTGTCAGTCAGTCAGTTAGTCAAGTACGTCAGTAAATCAGTCAGTAAATCAATCAAGTCAGTCAGTCAAGTCAGTAAGTCAGTCAAGTCAGTAAATCAGTCAGTCAGTCAGTCAGTCAGCAAGTCAGTCATTACACAAACTCATATTTACCTCATTGTTTCTATGTGCACAAAGTGACGCTTTAGGCCAGAGGCTATATCTTGTCTAATATCTCTATTTTCTTCGTTAATTCTAAGACTTAAACCTTTCTTTGCCACTTCCAGCAGCACTTGTATGCCTACTGGGTGCCATCATTACTTGGAAGATTTAAGATATGGCAATTAAAATATATAAACTCCTAGCAGAGGATGGTACGTACTACACACGTATGAACCGAAGACAGGGACAAGGGTTGGGGTGGCTGAGGTGGTTGGGGTGGTTGGGGTGGCTGAGGTGGTTGGGGTGGTTGGGGTGGCTGAGGGTGGCTGAGGGTGGCTGAGGTGGTTGGGGTGGTTGTAGGTCACCCCGATGACACAGTGACCTAACCCACAGCCAAGCAGTGTGTGTCCCGCGGGCGACGCGCTGGAAAAAAAAAATATCCCCTCCCGTCAACTGAACCGTGTTAACTTAATATTACGAAGTGTTATACAAAAATATGCCGCAATTCTTCAATAGTGCTATAACCAAAACGTGTCAAACAAACCCATGTTAAACGACTGTCTACTGTATATATATGTAACCAACGATATGGCAAACAAATCTAATTTTGACAACGTTTCGAGGCTTTCTATTTTCATGTTCAGAACCACAATATAAGAAATCACATGCAGAATTACAAAGGTGCAAAAAAAAAAAAAAATTAATACCTTTTTTGTTTAAACCACTTCAAATTTTAAAAGTCTGAAGTTTAAAAATTACCATATATAATTAAAAACACAGAAGGTAGCGGGAGGTTTCATGAGCTATGCCAGGCTTAATATTTAAGTTGGCAGGTATGGAGACTTTTGTGATTTTCAGCTCCATGTGTGAAGGGCACCATGACTAGCACTTTAAAAAGACTCCTCCTCTTGTGTGTGTGTGTGTGTGTGTGTGTGTGTGTGTGTGTGTGTGTGTGTGTGTGTGTGTGTGTGTGTGTGTGTGTGTGTGTGTAAACATAAGTAAGTTATAGTTTTCTTCGTGTACTGTAAAAGGTATAACAATATATTAGTACAAGTGAGTGAGGAGCGACTGAAGCAGCAATATAACAGTTACCAGTCTGTGTTTGGTTTCTGTCACGGAGACCGAGACGTCGCAGTGACAAGCTAGACACTCACCGACCCGACACGTAACGAAGAAACAGAGACGAGTTTCACCCGTGTCACTTCCCAAGTTCTGAGATCTCACGTGTAACTGACCACTTTAATTCACCTTCAGCGGGGCTACGTGGTCAACATTCGAAGTCCGGGTGACCAAAGTGTCCCGCATTCACCTTCATCCCACTCCTCAGGCGACCGAAGTGGAACAATTGGCTTTATGCCACTCTCAAGTGACCACAGTTGACCGCACTTAACTTCATCCCACACCCAGGTGACCTAAGATGTCCTACGTTGAGTAAAAGAAGTTATACTACCTCCAAGTACAGGATCCTAAAGGAAAATTGTTTGTCCTTATTTCCCCTCCACGTGAGCTAGATGGGTACCATTTGATCTTAATCTATTCTTAGACCTTATTCAACCTCCTGGTGGTATAGAATCACTTTAACTCACTCTTAAATTGCCCAGTTAAACCCTACATTTCGTCGCTTCTCGCCTGCGGGAGTTTCCTAACCTCGCTATTTGTCCCAGTGACCCGCACAGCATGTCAATAAATTGCTTGATTTGATTTTATGCACAGATGGCCTAGGTTGGCCTAACATAGTTGGAGTCTTCCACTGTCTTGAACGTAACACCTGTTTCAGTTCATCTAATTGAAGTGAAATCAACTTTCTTTTTGACTTCATGTTTTTTTTTTATTTGATACGACCTGATAATTCCTGTTTTCTTTCCACCACCTAATATATATCTCCTACCAGACACGACATATGTTCCCTTTTTTTCCACGACCTGTTCTCTTTCAAAGACACGTTCTCTTTCCACGACCTACCACGACCCCTTTCCTGTTGGCAAATAGTCGCAAATGGCTTTACATATTTTGAGAAAAAATATTTTGTATGTCGTTCAGTTGCCTTTGTTTACACAATTTCTAATTTAACAATTTACAAATTTGTATCGTTTACAGTGTGTTTGTAGTTGTTTAATTGACTTCTTCGCTGTTTTCATATCTCTGCTGCTTTAAACTGTTAACAAGTCGTGTCCAAGCTGCTTATGAAGTTATTCTGTGGTCCTCTTGGTGTTCTTCCTTTCGTTTTGTTTGTAGTAATTCCTTCATTGTTTTCATCTTTTTCCCCCTTTCCTTGTCATTTAATTAACTATCACTTTTCATGACATTGTTTTCCTCTTCCCTTATCCGTGTTGATCCTTATTTTCTCTTTTTTTCCTTGTCCGTGTTCTTCCTGTATTCTGATCGTTGGTCTTCTTGTCTTCCTGTTGATGTTCTTTCTGCCTGTTGTACTTCTTCTCTTCAGCTGTTCGCTGGTCCTCAGTGAGGACACACAAGATCTTCACCTCTCCTCACCTCAGCCTCTGTTAAGGTAAACAAGGTTTGGTAATTAAATGAGGGTAAACTAACACATTTTAACAAGCTAACATTTAAAATGACAAGTGATGGTAAGCCATTAAAAAAAAAGAAGAAACCTCCATTCATACAACGTTTCGTCAGTGAGCAAAATGTTGTTGAAGAAGTTATATTAAGGTTACACAGCCTCTATATCAGCGCTGTGCACACGTTCTATAAATAAAATTTCTCCTTGCTGTAATTGCTTTTAATAATGCAACAAATGTGTGTGTAATTGTATCTGCTACAATGAAACTATAATGAGGTTAAGGTCAACTTAATCACTTAATTAAGAATTATTGTTGTTAGAGTTAAATAATAAAAATAACAACAAATAACAATAGAAAATAAAAAATAAATAATAATAAATAATAAATATTAATAAATAATTAATAATAATAATAATAATGATAATAATAATAATAATAATAATAATATATTTTATCAGCAGAGGGGTTAATATTAGTGCAGACGCTGTGGAAGTTTTGGATTATTTACAAGACAGTTTTGTTAGTAAACAATGGGCAGAGAGCTGGCAACAGGTAGGCAAGCAGACTGACAAACAGCAAAGACTGATAGATCGAAGTGTTGCGACGTGTGTTGCGTGTTGCGACTTGTGCTGCTTGGCCTGAGACCCATGACCGTCTGATCAGCCAGGCTATTCCTGACCACGGCCCGCAACCTTACCAATCCGCCTTAATATATAGCACCATCGGCCAGCTCCACCTTTTGAGAAATTGAGTTACTATGTCCAATTTTTTTTTTAATATCTCTAGCATCTGGTGTGTGGAAGCTCGGTTTTCCTGAAGTCGTCTGGGCACCCCAGCGAGTGGTGGTATTTTCTGTTCCTTCATGAACTGGGCTTCCTTGTCAAGCTCTGTGGAATGTTGTCAATTTATTTTCGAAGCCTACAGGATTTGTGTCTCTTCCTGCTGCAGCGTGAGGCTCGAGTCGTGCTCCAAAAACCCGTGGGAAATATATGGTGGGAAACATTTAAGCCTATTTCCATTGCCATAATGTACATGGAAAGTTATAATAGAGATAATGGTGAATATATTCTAGCGATTTTTCTCATAGCTTTAAAAATGTACATTTATTATTATTATTATTATTATTATTATTATTATTATTATTATTATTATTATTATTATTATTATTATTATTATTATTATTATTAATCATTATATCTACAAGGTAATTATTCAGCTATTACAGACATAGCTAATATCACTTGCAAATTATATGGAAAACCCCTGGTTAAGCAGATCATTTCGGGAAACCTAGGTAAATCTTGTCCCCCAGAATGCGACCCACAACAGTCGTGTAACACCCAGGTACCTACGTGCTCCTACGTGCCGAGGTCTTTCAATTGCAGTGCTAAACATGGATTTGTATTATTATCATTATTATTATTTTTGTTAAGAATTTCATTAATTTCTCTATGGTCGTCCGTGTGTGTAGCTGCTGCAAATAAGGAGAACGAAATTGGAAGGTGACTTTTTAGTTTAGATTTTTCATACTTGAGCAAGTACAGGGTGTTTCAGGAAGATAGACCCAATTTCAAAGCAGCATATATTCAAATCAGATCCATCTTTTTGAAACACCCTGTATTCTGGGTTTCCCTTAAAGAAAGTTTCAGTTGTCTTTAAAATTTCTTCCATCTGATGTGAATATTCTTATTGTTATTTGTAACATTTTCTTAATTTTCTTGTTTCATTTGACTTTTTTACAGGGAATCCAGCAATTATTTTTCTTAGGCAGGTTTCTGCCTTCTTTTTTATACTCATATTATTTTTTGCTGCTTCTCAGAGGAAACAATTTTCTTTTCAATTATTTTTTTCATGTAATACTTTCATATTAAAGAATTGGGGTTGGTTTTCTTAAGTCAATATCATTGTAAAGTAAAACTGACTTAATATCCCGTCACGCTGCTTCCTTGGGAAGCTGTTGGCGTAGTTATACTTCGTGTGATCTAACGCAGTTAAGACTAGAGGGTACATGTGAACCTACTGACTGTGTACATGTGAACCTACTGACTGTGTACATGTGAACCTACCGACTGTGTACATGTGAATCTACTGACTGTGTACATGTGAACCTACTGACTGTGTACATGTGAACCTACTGACTGTGTACATGTCAACCTACTGACTGTGTACATGTGAACCTACTGACTGTGTACATGTCAACCTACTGACTGTGTACATGTGAACCTACTGACTGTGTACATGTGAACCTACTGACTGTGTACATGTCAACCTACTGACTGTGTACATGTGAACCTACTGACTGTGTACATGTGAACCTGGTGTCTCTATACATGTGAACCTACTGACTGTGTACATGTTTACCTGATGACTGTGTACATGTGAACCTGGTGTCTCTATACATGTGAACCTACTGACTGTGTACATGTTTACCTGATGACTGTGTACATGTGAACCTGGTGTCTCTATACATGTGAACCTACTGACTGTGTACATGTTTACCTGATGACTGTGAACATGTGAACCTACCGACTGTGTACATGTGAATCTACTGACTGTGTACATGTGAACCTACTGACTGTGTACATGGAATCTACTGACTGTGTACATGTTTACCTGATGACTGTGTACATGTGAACCTACTGACTGTGTACATGTGAATCTACTGACTGTGTACATGTTTACCTGATGACTGTGTACATGTAAACCTACTGACTGTGTACATGTGAATCTACTGACTGTGTACATGTGAACTACTGACTGTGTACATGTGAATCTACTGACTGTGTACATGTTTACCTGATGACTGTGTACATGTGAACCTACTGACTGTGTACATGTGAATCTACTGACTGTGTACATGTGAACCTACTGACTGTGTACATGTGAATCTACTGACTGTGTACATGTGAATCTACTGACTGTGTACATGTTTACCTGATGACTGTGTACATGTGAACCTACTGACTGTGTACATGTGAACCTGATGACTGTGTACATGTGAACCTGATGACTGTGTTCATGTGAACCTAATGACTGTGTACATGTGAACCTGATGACTGTGTTCATGTGAACCTGATGACTGTGTACATGTGAACCTGATGACTGTGTACATGTGAACCTGATGACTGTGTTCATGTGAACCTGATGACTGTGTACATGTGAACCTGATCACTGTGTACATGTGAACCTGATGACTGTGTACATGTGAACCTGATTACTGTGTACATGTGAACCTGATGACTGTGTTCATGTGAACCTGATCACTGTGTACATGTGAACCTGATGACTGTGTTCATGTGAACCTGATGACTGTGTACATGTGAACCTGATCACTGTGTACATGTGAACCTGATGACTGTGTTCATGTGAACCTGATGACTGTGTACATGTGAACCTGATGACTGTGTACATGTGAACCTGATGACTGTGTACATGTGAACCTGATGACTGTGTACATGTGAACCTGATGACTGTGTTCATATGAACCTGATCACTGTGTACATGTGAACCTGATGACTGTGTACATGTGAACCTGATGACTGTGTACATGTGAACCTGATGACTGTGTTCATATGAACCTGATCACTGTGTACATGTGAACCTGATGACTGTGTTCATGTGAACCTGATGACTGAGTTCATGTGAACCTGATGACTGTGTACATGTGAACCTGATGACTGTGTACATGTGAACCTGATGACTGTGTACATGTGAACCTGATGACTGTGTTCATGTGAACCTGATCACTGTGTACATGTGAACCTGATCACTGTGTACATGTGAACCTGATGACTGTGTTCATGTGAACCTGATGACTGTGTTCATGTGAACCTGATCACTGTGTACATGTGAACCTGATGACTGTGTACATGTGAACCTGATGACTGTGTTCATGTGAACCTGATCACTGTGTACATGTGAACCTGATCACTGTGTACATGTGAACCTGATGACTGTGTTCATGTGAACCTGATGACTGTGTACATGTGAACCTGATGACTGTGTTCATATGAACCTGATCACTGTGTAAATGTGAACCTGATGACTGTGTTCATGTAAACCTGATCACTGTGTACATGTGAACCTGATGACTGTGTACATGTGAACCTGATCACTGTGTACATGTGAACCTGATGACTGTGTACATGTGAACCTGATGACTGTGTACATGTGAACCTGATGACTGTGTACATGTGAACCTGATCACTGGTACATGTGACCTGATCACTGTGTACATGTGAACCTGATGACTGTGTACATGTGAACCTGATCACTGTGTACATGTGAACCTGATGACTGTGTACATGTGAACCTGATGACTGTGTTCATGTGAACCTGATGACTGTGTTCATGTGAACCTGTTGAGTGTGATTAATTCCGCTTGAAAGATGAGACGGGGAGAGGGTCGCCTGGATGCTGGTAAAGGACTCTGGATATATGAAATTGGAAATATTTTACGGTTGTCTGGATTAAACTTAACTACACTCCACTGCCCCGGTGCTCTCTGACAGCTACTGGATTTCCCATGAATATAATAAATTATTTATTTTTCTGTTTTTTCATAAAGAATAAATATAGAGAAGCGTAGAATGTATTCCCCGCTGCCTTGAAACAAACTTGACATACGAGGTAGAGCGCTAGGAAGTCATGACTTGGTGAAGCTCTATACAGACCGACACATCTGCAACCTGTGTCTTTTATACCACAGATTCTTCAGACTTCTCTAAGACACATCTACGAAGTGTGCCAAATATTATGATGCTATTGTCTATCATTTTCCTTCTTATATTTTGGAGGATAAATTCTCATAGGAAGACAATATTTAACAAAGGATTTTATAAGCTTTCTATAAAGTTTTCAATATTTCAATATTTCATTTCCTTTATTGCCCATCTACTATCCACTAAGGTAAACTTTATTAATTCTACACAACAAAAGGAAGAACACGTTTCAGTGAATTTTTTATTAATCTTTAATAA